CTCTCTCTCTCTCTCTCTCTCCCCCCCTGCATCCTCGGGCTTTGTGTTTTTTTTAATGGTGTTTCCATTCACTGGGGGACTTCTCACTCAACTGGTGAATTAAACAAATAATTTTTAATTTCTTATTGTCGTTGTTTTCGATAGGACATGGCGCCAGCGCCATTTCGCCCAGGCGCCGCAAAAATGTGCTGCTGGCATTATGGTTACCAGGCCGAACGTTCGGGGGCCCCCGGGCTGACCCCCGAACGTTCGGGCGTTCGGGGGCCGGACCTGAAGGGGCCCCCACCAAAAATTATTTCGGGGCCTAAAAATGATTTTTTTTTGTTGAAATGTTTTTTGTTAAGTTCTGTAGGAGATGCGCTACACGCATATAAATTTTCAAGGCATTTTGCTGAGCCAAAAAAAAAAAGAAAAATCATCAAAGATGGCAGTGTTAAAACGTGCTCGGATACTCAGTTTTTTTTTTTCCACTTTTCATTTTTTGTTGTGATTTTATTTTGGTGCCTCAAATATTTTACTATTTTTTGAAATTTTTTGCATGAGTTTTGTAGTATGTGAAGTACACAGATGTAAAGTTGCATGGCATTTGGCTATGTAAAAAAAAATAAAATGAAAAATCGCCAAAGATGGCGGTGTCGAAAATGGGCTTGAGCACTCACTAATTTTACTTCTGTAATTTCTCTTTTTATTTTTTCTTAGTATTCTTGGTAGTTTTTTTTTTTTTTTTTTTTTCCAAATTTGGTAAGGAATTTGGATGTAATCCTCATGCAAATGTTGTTTAGGTTATGTTTCTGCATAACATATGTTTTTTTCAGACTTTTTACGACTTTTTAGATTTTTTAGATTTTTTTTTTGTTTGTTTTTTTTGGGTCCGCGATCGGTCCGAACGGCCGAACGCATCCCCAAGGGGCCCCGTACGTTCGGGCGTTCGGGTTCGGGCGTTTGGCCTGTTCCGAACGCCGGCCACCCTGGCTGGCATTGGATTTTAATAACTCAGTTTTGGCAAACTCAGAGCCAAAGCCTTTTATCAAGTTTGTATGTGACTCCTTTTTGTCATCGAAACTTGCGAATTGATCAACTTGATGTCCGCCTGTTCTACTTGGGAAGTGCTTGCCTTCAATATCATGCACTCACTGGCAAGCCTACCGTCTTCACCCGAGTAGAATCCCCGGTCATTATAGCTGTATTTGGCACAACTTTCAGCCCAAATACGGCGATAATTACCGGGCGTTCTATTCGGTTAGACGGTAGTGCAGTCCGCACACCACCTGCGAATCTGCACCCATTAACTGTCAAAATGCAGACCTGAGTTCGAATCCAGGTGGACCTCGGTGAAATGGGAGAACAGCTTGAAAAGAATTACATACTCTCCTTAGCTGAGTCTATGTTGCTCTGCAATTCGCCAGTTCCAATTACCCCTCCCAATTACCCCTCCCAATTACGCCTGCCAATTACCCCTTCTCGTCGCCCTTCTTCATCCCCGTTCCAATTACCCCTCCCGCGCTGTACAGATGAGGAAGGGCGAAGAGAGAAGGGGTAATTGGAACAGGGATGTGTGGAAAAGCATGGGGAGAGTTTCAAGGTCCAAGTTGGGTGTGACGGAAAAAGCATGATGACATTTCTGGGACTCATTTTGTGGGACAAGAAGCTTGATGATGATGTTTGTGAAAAATATATATATATTTTTAAAAGGTCTTTTGAACTCTTTTCCTCTGCTTTTTGTTCCTGTATTACTGGAAGAAAAAACTTTTAATTAGTTTTGTTCCTGTTTTTTGGAAGAAAAAGCTTTTAAATTTTAACTAGTTATCTGCAGGTTTGCATACCTGCCGCCCTCCGATCGCCGACCCCGATCGCCGAACCCGACGACCGACCAGTAGGGCCGACCTGTCGGTGGTCTGCCGACCAGTCAGAAAACAGCCATCCACTGTTTTTTTTTTTCAAGTGTGAATTGGGGGCTGTACTGCGCATGCTGAGTACAGCCTAAACCCGCTGAGAAACTTTTGTGGATGAGGGGGGGGTATGAGGGGGTTGGGGGTGGGATATAGGGGGTTATAGGGGGGTATAGGGGTCGTATAGGGGGTATTGGAGGTGGGGTATGAGGGTGTTGGGAGGTTGTATGGGGGTATTGGGGGCGGCTATGGGGGTGTTGGTGGGGTTATTGGGGGTTCTGGACCCCCCCCAAAAAATAAATATATATATTTTATGTGGGGTGCCAATGACTCCGACCAGTCGAGGGCGCCGACCGTCGGGGTATGTGACACTGGTTAGCCGTATATATACCGTCTTAATCACACGGCAGCAGTGCCGAGGTTCATTGTGTGACAGAAAAAGCATGGCAACAGTTTTTAGATTTTTTGTGTGACAAGAGAAGCTTGATGATGATGTTTGTGACTAAAGTTGTTGTTCGTGTCTCTGCTTTTTCATGCTTTCTTTTTTGAAAAAAAAAAGTTTTAATGAAGTTTAATTAGTTAGCCTATGCTATGTCTTAATCACAGCAGATGTGCTGTATGCATCCCCTTTGTGTGCCTAGGTGATGCCTGTCATTGATTTTTTTTTTTTTTTTTTTTTTTGTGTGTGTGTCTGTCTCTGTGTGTGTAATCCATGTCTCCAGCTCTGGGATCTGACGGCCGGAAAGTTAATGCACGATTTCAAGCTACATGAGGGCAGTCAAATCAATTGCCTCGATTTTCACCCGTACGAATTCCTTCTGGCGACAGGTGAGGACGGTTATTCGACTTGTGCGGAAGGCTGGCTTGTTCTCAGGTTTCCCCCTTAAACAAACAAACAAACAAACAAACAAACAAACAAACAGGTGACACAGCAGCATTTCATTAATACAGGTTATTATTGACTTATTAAACTTATGTTGCAACTATGGGCCTCGCTGCACTACTCTCGACATGCACAAAAGACAAAAAACATGGCGCTGTATCTTTCCATATTCTAGCGGAAGATTCACTCTCGTTTTGCACATATCGAGAGTAGTGCAGCGAGGCCCTATGTTGTTCTAAGTTGTCCTTGTTGTATCTTTGTTTCCCCCCCACCTTTTTTTTTTTTTTTTTTTTTTCCTCTTCTTTCTTGTTCTCAGGCTTCTTGAGAGCATCTTCCTTTTCAAAATTAGCGCAGCTTGAATGGGAACATGGAGTGTTTTTGCTTTTTTTTTTTTGAAGTACAGATTGAAGTTTTTTTTTTTTTTTTTTTTTAAGTATAGATTGAAGGATGACAACGAGGCAAATGTGGGGATTATAAAATTTTCACCTGTTTACTGAAAAAAATCAAAATAAAAAAATGATGACAATATTAGGAAGGTCCTGGCATTGTCGTCGTGGACATCACAGCCCGGTAAGATTGGAGTTGCGCTCTGTTGATTCATTATGGCAGCATAATATGGCCCCATACAAAGAAGCTTTGATTAATTACGGTGGTGCATCACACAGCCCTTTCAAGCATGACGACACAGACAGATGGAGAAGAATGGTCCAAATTGAAAAAAAAACAAAGAAAAAAACAAAGCAGAAAACACAAGGAGGATCGTGGGCTACCAACCAGCCCGCCCGGATCAGCTTGGTTGCCCGCTGGGCCCACCTGGGCAAGGGCGAGAGAAGGTCCCTGCCCAAAAAAATAGTAATAATAATAAAAAATCCATGTTCTGCAGAAAAAAACATCTGAACAACTTTTGCCTCAGGTCCTCAGTGCCACAAACTCAGTCCAAATCCGCGCAGCTATAAGTCAGGGTCGTAACCTGGTTTCCAGCAGGTGAAGTTCTCCACCAAAATAGATAGAGCCTTCAACCCGGGGGTCACTTTAGGGGGGATGCTCGTATCACCTCCTCAAGTGTTGCTCCCCCTTTTGAAGATTCTGTGTCTTTTTTTTTTCAAAGGTCAGGGTCTTTTTTTTTTTTAAAGAAAGGTCGGGGTCTTAACTTTTGGTCCAAGTCCAAATTCAGGGGTCGAAAGTCGCGCATCTCTAGCTATAGAGAGGTCTGAGAAAAGTTTTAGGGTGGAAGGGTATATTCTATATAGGGTCCAGAGTCAAATGAGGCAACCTGTGCCCCTCCCGACGTGAGACTGTTGACTCTTGGGGAATCTTCAACAGTGAAGGCCCAACTCGGGAACAGCAGACCAATAGTAGCAGACCAATAGTAGCAGACTACCGTCTTCACCCGAATAGTACACCCGGTCATTATCGCTGTTTCTGGACTGAAAGTTGCCCCATATACAGCTATAATGACCGGGTGTACTATTTGGGTGAAGACGGTAATAGCAGAAGACTAATAGTCAAAGTCTTCTCAGAAGCCAACCACGGCCATAGATGAGATGCACAATCAAAGGCTGTCTGCAATGATCTAGAAGATAACAACGCTTACAGGGTCAAGTTGCACTAAGGCCGATAGCAAATCTGCGGCGCTCAGATCGAGAAATCTCCACCGTTGGAGGAGGCAAGTGGAGGCAGGGCAGAGCCGGTGAAGAGTATAATAGAGAAGTCGGGCCCAGCAGGTGGGTCATGCTGCCTTGCACGTACTGGTGGCCAGATTGTGGCGGGGAAAGGTAAGGAGTGTGAAGAGGCTGGCACCAGACAGAGGAGGAGGAGAGTGCCAGCCCGGGAAGGAGTGTAGTGGAGCTAGATACAGCTAGGAAGGGCACTCTGCCGCCATAGCTGCAGAAGAGAGACGGACGAGGAAGAGGGTGATCAGGACATGTGAGTAGGAGAGAGACACTGAGTGTTGGAAGGTTACCTTGACTTACCTGGACGCTGGTGGAGGTGCTGCTGTGTGAGATCAGTAGGTTCAAGGAGGCTGGCACCAACCTCCATAGCCAGCATTGATGCTGGAGGCTGGGCGCCATAGCTGGTACCAGCAGAAGAACTTCATCAGCGACTTTCAGGGAGAGACTTGCACTTGCTGTGTTGGCGAGTTAGTGGAGAGGTACCCGGAAGTGCAGACGGAAGGGAGAGCCAATTAATTTGTCTCTCTCTCTCTCTCCCTTTGTCTATTGATTACTACTGAAATTCTTCTCTCTCTCTCTCTCTCTCTCTCTCTCTCTCTCTCTCTCTCTCTCTCTCTCTCTCTCTCTCTGTTGCTTCTCTCCGTTTGTCTATTCTCTGGTGACTGGCTGCTTATGCTGGGACTATTTTGAGTAAATCTGGAGTTGGTTTCGTAGTATTCGTACTGTGAGTGGTTCCAGTTGAGTGCATTAATGGGACTTGCATGCTTTATTGGGCCTCGCTCCACTACTCACCGCATGCACATGCACAAAAGACAAAAAATATGGCAGTGTATCTTTCCATGTTCTACCGGGAGATTCATTCTCATTTTGCACATTTGGTGAGTGGTGGAGCGAGGCTCATTGTGAAAGCTTCTCAAACTGGACGGGTTCATTACATCAGAGGGTCACGTCAAAATTCTTTACCAGATTATAATTTAGAGTTTTTTTTTTTTGGGCCCAGACAGGCAAGTGGTCCCACGCCACTCTGGTAGCCAAGGGAGGGTTCCTTTCAAAAGGCAATTTTTAAATTATTATTTTTACAAACAAAAAAGCTGCTGCTGCTACTGCTGCTACTGCTGCTGTTGGTTAACAACTCAACAATTCTGACTCTCTCTCTTTCTTACGTTTTTTTTTTTTTTTTTTCCCTTTTTTTTTCCTTACCCTCTTTCCACTGTTGTGTATGCGTATGTGTGTTACAGGTTCTGCAGACCGGACTGTGAAGTTTTGGGATCTGGAGACTTTCGAGATGATAGGCTCAGCAGGACCAGAGGTTAGTGGGCTTCTCTCTGCGCACGGAAAGTTTTGTGCCCGCTTTTGAGCACGGGTGTTTTTTTTTGTCGGTAGGCCTCTTCCGCATGGATTATGCTTTGACAGGTAGTGATGCCACTGAAAATAAATCAGACGACCTATATAGGAGGAGACTTAAGTTGCTGAGCACACTCAACTAAGGAGGGTGCACTTCAACTTCAGATTTCTGACTGCATCTGGCCGTAATTGCTGTCTTATACTTCTTGGATGGGCCTGGTGTGAGTATGCTGCTCAATGTCACGATGGTCTTGCAACAGATGCTGTCAGAGGAAAATGGTTCAGCCAAAACTGTTGTTTACCCATAACTTCGGTTTAGCCAAAACTTCAAAAAATAGAGTCCTTGGGGACATCTGCAAGGAAAATGAGGAATAGCGAGATGACAATAACCAGAATGCACAATCACATTGAGGGCCAGATAGTATCACAGTGTCCAGAAAGCAGAATTGCACCAATGTAACACCAATGAAGAATCGTAACACTGAAAACCAATGTCAATGACAGCTTGCTCTCGCCACCACCAACATGAGTGTCCAGGCCCTTCTCCCTACTTGGCGCTCGGCGCCCAGCCTACTTCCTACACAACTACTGTCTGCCTACCAATTGACAATGCAACTGTCGACGTCAGCAGCCCACGAAGTACTTGAAGATGTCGCCCAATGCAGACCATCGCCAATACCAGGTATGTGCCCTCACATCATCATCATCATCATCATCCTTCTCTCTCCCCTGACTTACACCCATGTCTCCTCACTGTATGTCCAAGCCCTCAGCCAGCTATGGAGGCTGGGCTATGGCGCTGCCCTCAGCAGCGCCTTGCTTCCACACACGACGCACGTGCGCAGCACCTTGCTCCAGCGCTAGCAGCCAGCACGTGAGCAAACGCTCCAGCAGCGCTGCTGCCAGCCAGCAAGTGCCTGAATACCTGCCCAAGTGCGAGCTCTTTCCTATATGGAAAGAGCCTGTCTGCTTTCGCAGCGTGGCTGGCCTGGGCCTCAGCCCAGAAGCTTCCGGTAGGCCCCAGGGGGCTGCGCCTCCTTTGCAGCTACTGGGCCTCGTTCGGTTGGGCCTCCCAACTGTCTGTGTATGAGGCTGCGATTCTTGCCCAGGGCCTGCATTTTTAGGAAAGGCCTGGAAGGCCGTGAAAATGCCTTTGCTGCTCGGCCTGTGTTTTCCCCAAACAACTGGCGCGTCACAACTGCCTGGACCCCAAATACGAAATTGACAGCCGAGGGCCATTCGTGATTTGTTAGGCCCGCCTTCACTTAGGGCGGGCACATCTGCAACAGGGGCCCCTTAAGCCTGCCGAGGACCCAGATCCTCGCACATCCGTTAACATCGGAACGATACAGAGAGAGAGAGAAGATTAGCATGCTAGGATGACATCATGACACACATAAATCGAGAGAGAAAAAACTCACAGTTGGACTTTCCCAGACGTGTTCGACCACAATCGCAACTCGTATTCAGTCCTGAAAATCCTAATAATAAGAATTACGAGTGAACCGTCAACAGTCTGCAGAATATACAGCCCCTCGTTTGTTGTCCTCTTCTCCCTCTCTGCCTATGGTTTACCGGGCAGCTCTGTTTGACCCTTGCACGTGAGAGGCACAGTGGAGGTGGAGTTCAAAGAAGAATGAGCAATTTAATGGTTTCAATCTGCCCTTGCTTTTTCTTTTTGTTTTTGTTTTTATTTTTGCAATGTGCCTGTTTTTTGGTTTTATTCTTTGTTTCGCAAAGTGCGCTATATGACAATATATATATATATAAACATAGGCAGATAGGGAGAAGAGGACAACAAACGAGGGGCTGTTTCGAACTGTTTACAAATATATATTATATATATATTCTGTCATGGGCCCAGTGCATATCCCTTCCGACCGCCGACCGTATTGCAGCCGACCAGTAGGGCCGACCGGTCGGGGGTCTGTCGACCAGTCAGAAAACAACCATCCACTAATTTTTTTTCAGATCTGAGTCGGAAGCTGTACTGTGCTTGCTGAGTACAGCCCAAATCTGAGTACAGCCCAAATCCGATGAGAAATTTTTGGGGATGGGGGGGTTGGGGGAGGGGTGTATAGGGGGATATAGGGGGTATAGGGGTGGTATAGATAGGGGTTAC